GCTTATTCATGTGATCCAACTTAAATACAAATTTGACTTAAGGACATTCTCAGGAACAGAACTGATTTGCAACCTGGGAACCGCTTTTATCTATAGAATTTGCCAGAATTCATAATAGTGCCGCGGTTTGAGAAGTGGAGTTTTTTCATTATTAATAATTTTGCTCTGATTTTCCAGGGTTTTTTAAATAACAAATTTAAAGAAAAATCCTACTTTCTCCCCTCCTACTTCCTCACCCACAGATCACTCCTCCAGATCTCTGGGGTTTGTAGTTCTACATTACATATTTTCACTAAGAGCAAATTAGTTGTTACAGTTGGATTTTTTTTAATGGGGACAAGGAAGGAGGCAAAAAAGAGAGGAAGAAAGAACAGAAAAGAAGAGTGTAAAGATGTGCTAGCTGTAAGCTTTTGCATTTCTATACTGCCCAATATCCAAAGCTTTGTGGACAGTTCACAACACTTAAATGCTAAAAGTACAGAGAAAAGCTTAAAACGGGTTCCAGCATCGCCCTAAGAATTGATAGGTGGACCTAGGACCTTCTAGCCCACCAGCCCCTGAAAAGGAGTTCCATATTAGATTATGAAAAGAGGGCAAATTTCAGGCAATTTTGCATGGTTTCCAAAATCGCCCAGTTGGCTTCATGGCCGAGCGGGGACTGTAAGGAGTAAAAGAATGGTGCTGATGTCAACTGGGATCTGTTTTGTATTATTTGCCGTATTCATAGAAACAGTGCCTCACGTCTCTGTTTCCAGCCTCCGCAAATGTGTGTCTGATGGGCTGAAATGCAGAGTGCTAGACTGACAGGCAACAGCAGCTGCCACTTCTAACACCACTTCCGGACTCCTGTTGATTGATTAACCTCCCAGAACTTCGCTCATGTCTGCAAAAAATAAAAATAAATAAAATAAAGGCATTTGCAGAAAATACATTGGTTGCTACAGGGCAGGCTTTTCTCGAAATGATACGGAACAAGCTGTTAGCAAAGCTATTCATGTTTGGGATGGATTAATTTATTCTGCTGTCTTCTAAAAAGATTGATTTACTCTGTTGTCTGCTAAAGCTTCTGAAAATGTTCAAGCTCTGTATGTGTGCATGTTTGTTAGATTTATATCCTGCCTTTTTTCTTACAAAGAACTCAAAGTGGCTCACACCATTCTCTTCCTCCTCCTCTCAGTCTTATCCCTGCAAAAGCCACTCTTTGAGGTAGGCTGGCTGAGAGTCTGTGATGGGCTCAGAATCACCCCGTTGGCTCCGTGGCTGAGCAGGGACTTGAACCCGGATCGCCTGAGTCCCAGATCTGCACTCTTAAGTGCTACACCACACTGGCTCTCTTACAGCATGGAGCTTTATTCTCTTAGGATCCATTCACCATGTTTTTTCTAATTTACAATGTTTGTATGTCACCCCATAGCATAAAGTTCTCTGGGCAACTTACAATAAACATGAACACGGTTTAAATGAACATTGCATCGGAAGTTATAAACTATGGCAACAAGGCACAGCTCACAATACCCCAAAATTAAACACAGATTGTAAACTGAGAGACCCGGATGACACGAGTTGCTTGGAGGGCCTGGGTGGACAGAAGGTTCTCCCGGCTTTAGAAAAGACGGTCATGATGGCAGCAGGCAACCCCCCCTGCAAAGGCTAACTGGACTCTCACTGCTGGAAAAAGGTTCTCTCAGGTAAAGCTGATTAGTTTCAGTTCTGTTGACCTTTTTCCTCTCATACTTCACCCAAAATCCAGCTTTGTTAATATAAAGGCTTTCTAGTTTTTATCTGCTTTTATTTTTGGTCCACCAAGGACTCTGTGTGTTTCACAGGTCCAGGGAACAGCTGGAGTTTATTTCTATAAAATTGGCCACTGCTTATTTCTGTATCCTGGGAGTCATCCTGAAACCTCCATAGCACGTAGAAGTACAGTGGTACCTTGGCTCACGAACTTAATCCATTCCAGGACTCTGCTCGTGACCCAAACTGGTCGTGAGCCAAATCAACTTTCCCCATAAGGTTCAGTGTAAATAAGGTTAATCCATTCTGTAACCATTTTTTTAATCACAAACATTTGAAGCAAAGTGACAAAGAACAACAAAGATCGCGGCCATACCCCCCCCCCCCCCCCCAACCCACCCCCGTTCCCCGCCCCCGCAAAACCGAGATCGTGGCATAGACAGGCGCGATCATGGGCGTGCTTGGGCAGGGAAGACGGGCACAATCGTCACCTGATGCGGAGTTCAAGACCCGAGGCAATTTTTTCCTGAAATTTCTGTTCACAACCCGATTTGGTCGTGAACTGAGGTGTTTGTGAGCCGAGGTACCACTGTACACCCTAATCGGAGTACTCCCTGCTACATCCCCCCTCAAGTGTGTGACTAAATGCTGACGGCAGGGGTTCACTACCACGCAGTTCCCCCACCTCTTCGCTTTCTTTCTGTCAGACTTGGTGACATGTTCTGAAGAACTCAAAGCTTTACACTCTTGTAACATTCTGGTTGGCCCAATAAATGTGTTGCCCCAATACTTCCTTATGGTCAACGTGATGTCACATTTGTATGGTAGTCACATGTATGCTAATTTAAGTCTTCAGTCTGTGTGGAATAGAAGTGGGAATAGCAGAATGTTCTGCCTGGTGAAGCAAATGTCTGTTAGGAGGCCTGAGAGTAACTGTTGCAAAGACCATTAAGGGAACTGATCACAGAGGCTTGGATGGATGCGAGGACTCCCTGGCAGTGGCCTCTGGCTCAGCTGAATGAACAGGATGGCATCTGCACCACCTGTCGGTAGAGATGTCCAGTCTCCCACTCAGACAATAACTGCATATGCAGTTGCTGTGTATCTTCTATGATTTATTGTAGAAAGGTGCAGGTTCCCCTTCGTACCTTTCACACAGGGTACTGGTAATACCTCTCTGCTAGGCTTTTCCAAAGAAAAGGTGCAGTCCATCTAAAGGCACTTGGAATTTCAAGGGGATTAATAAGCATGTGCTTAACCTTCTACCCTTGGAATCTGTGAGACTTCAAGATGTATAGTTTTATTTATATCTTGCTTTAACAAAACAAAATGAACTTCTGTGCAACATTTGTTACTTGGTAACAGGTCTTCAGGAATAGGTGCTGCTTTTAAATTCACCAGAAGTTAACAGTTACTTCAACACAAATCGATGTGTTCCTTCAAATGGTTACTGAAATTTAAGGACAAAGGTACAACTAGTTGTCACGTTTTTCTCATTTAGATTCTGTCAGTTTATTTGTTTACAGCTGATAGTACTCAGTTGTTTTATTGACACTTTACCTAATTTCAGTGTTTTCAGTTGTCCCAGAAAATCCTTTCATGAGGTAATCCTGTATTTTGTCAAGGTAGAACTTAAAATAAGCTTCATAAATTGAAACTACTTAACTGAAATGCAGGGTTCCTAAAAGGTAATATTTTAGTGGGTTTTGTTAACTTTGCCTAAGTTAGATATCTGTACACAGCTCTGCCTCCCTCCTTGTAGTCACGGAGCAGCTTACAAACATTAGTGGAAGTTCATTTCCTATCTCCCTCCCTCTAGTGTGCCACAGAAACATAATTTTTCCCAGATGGTAAGCTGAGGATCTAACAGGTTGTGACTTGCCCCAGCCATATGGGAAGTATGTAGGAGAGCTAGAAATGGATAGGGGGTGTGTTCAGATAAAAGAGTCACTCACTGAATTAACTTTTTGTGCTTATGGATCAATAGGTATGTAGGTAGGTAGGCAGATAGAATAACATCTTCAATTTGTCCTCCCAGGCATACATGTCCAATTAGATTTTGATTAGGAATTGTGTTTATGTATGCATAGTGGAAATACAGCAAATTAATAAACTGCCTTGGTTCTGCTTGAATTGCTCTGCTCTGCTCTGCATATTCTTTTTATATGAACCAGGCTTGCCAATTCCTGGCTACTGGCTGTAAACGTGTGTAAGTTGTCAGATGTCAATAATTTTTGTTTCTCATTTATTATAGTATGTTCATTCCCATTCTCCTATTTCCATCTCTTTGGTCATCCTGAACTTCTAAAGGAAAAGAACCAGGGAGACCAAATGATGATAGCAGCAATTCTTCTGCTGTCCTGCACGCAAGTGCCTTCCTTGGTGTGTGAATGGACGGAAAGCAATGGCTTGTTAGTGACACAACTTGTCGTTCTCTTGTGGATGTGATACTTTTATTTCTTCCCTGGATGGGCTGGGCTGATGGTAGTGGGTTATTTCCATTTCAGTTTCAGTTGATTGTTCAGTCAGTTTACATAGATCTTTGGGAGGTTCTGGACAAGCATTAGGTGCTGATTCAGTCCTGCTGGCTATGTGCTACCTCTTTTACCGAAGGTGGCATGCCTGCTTGCACTGGTTACTGAGGAGCTTGGGCAGGCAGAGGTCTTGCACTGATCCTGCTCGAGTGATGCGCTGGATCACTGTGTGAATGGAGTGCTGGACTCGGTGGACCTCTGGTCCGAACCAGCGTGGCTTTCCTTATGTTTACAGGTCCGTTGAGACGCATTTGGAATGAGAGCTGAAATTGCCCGTTGCCCGTTCAGAGTCCAGGTGAGAGGCACATTGGCTTCCACTTGAGAGTGGTCCCAGATGATCCATTTTAGATTTCTCCTGTAGGCCTTTTGAGAGTACAGGTCCTATTCCAGAAAACCACTGAAGTGGCCTCAATGAAAATGCATGCTTGGCTTTGAGGTAGAACTGCTGCTTGTCCTGTTGCTCCTTTTATAGATGCCCTGCCTGAATTATAAGATGTCTCAATTATTCATGTCCGTGTATTTTGATCTAGATCTTAGGTCTCAGGTTCTGGAGAATCAAATGGTTGTGTTTTAGTCAGCGGTACTGTAGTTTCTCAGATTCCTAGATGCTACCCTCGGCCTGAGGGAGCTAGAATCTAATTCTGTAGATATTCAGAATATCTTACCTTGCATTGAATTATACTAAATAACACTTGGGGTCTTAATGGGTTTTTTGTTCTTCTTCTCTTCTAGGTTTACATGTGATACCCACAAAAATGAGGCTGAGAACGCGGAAAGCGTCTCAGCAATCAAATCAAAACCACACGCAGCGTGCGTTGAGGGTAAAGAGAAAATACTCAGAGGTGGAGGAGAGCTTACCTGTTGGTGGAGGAAAGCCTCAGAAAAATGAAACTGGTTTATTGTCTTCAATAAAAAAGTTCATTAAGGGCAGTACCCCAAAGGTAAGTACGCAGCAACTGCGTCTAATGTTTTGACAGGATTCCAGTATTCTTTTGTTTATGTATTTGCGATATTTTATCTCCCACTTAGGTCAAAATCTTCCCATTATGATTGACAAAAATAAATCCTAAAACTACAATACCTCATAATTTAAAGTGTTTCAAAGCACATTGGTTGCAAACCTATACAGATGACCTAAAAATAATTCAGAAAGGCATTAAAATAAAAGGACAATCAGAAAAGAGTCAGAGAAGAGGTTTGGTAGTGTTCTCTACAAAGGGGTTTCCAAAGACATGGGGCTGCAGCTGGAAAAAAAAAAACCTGTCCCTGGTCCCTGTGAGCTTGATCTCCCCGAATGATCTCACCAGAATTCAGAAACTCTGAAGCTGATTTGGGCTCAGGTAGGCTTCTGTAAGTGCATGTAGTCTTTCAAATAAAGCTCATTTAAGCTTCTAAAGATAAGAATCAGCACTTTAAATTGAGCCCAGAAATAAATTGGCAACCCGCATACCTGCGTCCTAACTCCATTCGCATCTTGATCACTGCACTGTGCCCATTATAGTTTCTGAACTGTTTTTAAAGGCAGCCCCTTATAAAGAACAGCAGAGTGCCCCAGTCTGGAATAACTCTGAATGTGTGTTGAAGGCCACACCTCTTCCCCAGATAGGGTCACCGTCATCAAATCACCCTAAGCTGGTAAAAGCCTCTTGCCGTGGGCAGGACCTGCACATCCACCAGTCATGCCGGATCCAGGAGAATCCCCCCTTGATTCTTCAGGGTCGAGCAGCACCACACAGAGCAGGCTGCCTCCTCCTTTCCAGGTAAACAGTGCACTCCCAGCGCACTGCTTAGACTGAATTTTAGCTTGCTTGTCCACATCCACTCCAGAACTTCCTTGCAAGCTCAGGGATTGCTGCCACTTCCCAGACTTGAAGGAAGCAGAAGGGAGCTCCATGTTGCTTGCACCAAGGAGACGTTTTAGCCCAAATTCTGGAAGTCTTATTTCCATATTTGGGGGAAATGGCTGCATTCAGACATAACATTTGGTGTTACAGGAATGAGCAGGCGTTAAGCTTCGGGTGAGTGTAATCCTAGTGTGTGGGCTTTTGTAAAACAAAGTGCCAAATTATAGCTTGCTGCAAACAGATCAAAAGCTTCAAATCTGTGTGTGCAAGGAGAGTGCCTAGAACTCGCTCGCTCGCTCGCTCGCTTTTTCTTGTTGCTGGAAAAGAGGGTATAAAGGAGAGGAAAGGGAGTGTACAATCCAAATCTTGTTCTTATAAATGCCAAGCCATGAGACATTAATAGGTCTGAATGCAGCTGTGAAAGTGTGAAAGGCATGGTTGTGCCCTTTGGGAGGCTGTGCTTTGGACAGGTTGGTTGTTTGTACAGTGGTGATGGAACAAAGGTAAGAAGTTGCAGTTTCCTTTCAGTATATTCCTTTGATAAGAGAAACAGCAGCATAAAAATCCATTGAGCAAGTTTTTTCCTGCTTATGAGCGAGATATAAATGATTCTGTGGTTTTCAGATTAGCTGCATGAATTGGGAGTCTTTCTTAAAAGTTGGAAATACTTTTAAAGAATATCTGTATGCACACGGTTTCTGATTGGATAAATGGCCAGTGCAATGGCCAAGATGCAAATTGAGTTTGTGCAGATCCCCTCTATCACAGTGTAGATGTTCTGCATTGCATCAGAGGGACTGCTTTCACGAAGGAGATGGGGGATAGCCTTCTTTCTGGGAGGGAGCCTGTAAATATTGGCAGTGTGGTTTAGTGGTCAGAATGTTAGCCTAATCGCAGGGAGACCCACGGTCAAGTCTCTGCTCAGTCTTGGAACTCACAGGGTGCCCTTGGGGCCAGTCTCTGTCTCTCAGTCTAACCTGCCTTACACCTTGGTTGTGAGGATAACGTTGGCAGAGGTGGACCATATCCGGTGTTTCTCAGGTGAAAAGAATAGGAGTGAAATAATACAGAAGAAGCAGATTCCCGGCTTGTGCATTCTGATCTGACAATAAGGGCATGTTCCATGTTGCCACTACCGTCTGGGATGTGAAGAGGAATTGTTCGGTTTAGTTGCTGGTGCAACTAGTTTTTTGATGAAATTTTTTTAGGGTTCAGTAATACATTGTGACATTTTATGATGGCAAACTCAAATATTTGGTTGTAAGCTACTTTGCTGGCCTTTCTAGGCAGGAAAACTGCACCTAAACCAGGAATGAGGAATATATGGCCCTCCAAATGTTGGACTGCAATTCCTGTCATTCCTCACTCTTTACTATGGTGGTGAGGCTGATGGGAGTTGTAGTCCAACATTTGAAGGGTCATGCATTGACCCAGTGCACACACAATAGCAGAAAATTGTTGGTTACTTAGCACTGTGTTTTGACCCAGCTGGAGGTTGAACATTAAAAAGCTTGCAGAATTGCCCAGCATGCTCCCTGGCAATTTGTGGCATAATTAATCTACTGTTTGCCATGGTTACATGTAAACAGTCCCCTTAAGTAAAGTGATTTTTGAAGATTGGCCTTGCTATCAGTGCTGTAGTAAATTTGAGATACATTGTTTTAAGCATGGGCAGTCAACTGCCAGTCCAGACCTTTCTGATAGCCTTTCCCCAGGATTAGGCGATAGAATCAAAGGCAAAAACATTGTAGTCACTGGTCTGCCATTTCCCTGTCTTAAAGGATGAGTAAATATAATGCCCTGTTTAAAGTGCTGCAGATGCTTGGCAACATTTGCCTAATTACCCATACAGCCTGTTGTGCCATCCAAACTCAGGTGGCGTGCCTTGTTTGTGGAGGAAACAGACTTGAAATAACCCATGGCAAATGGTGTCCAGCAGATGCTGCAGCAGAGGCTACTGTCGCTTGCTTACACTGCAGTGATCATGGAGCTAGGTTCCATCCCTCCTCTTGTCACTGATCAGAACTGAAAGTTATTTGTAATTTCCATCCCTAAGAAATTCTTTAATTTAGATGTACAGGATTTAAACTTGAGTCTGTTGGTAACAAAGCCCCAAAATAGCCCTCCTAACAGCACTTTGGGGGTTGCAGGCTGTTTTTCCTTGCTTTAATGTGAGAGACTCGTTTATTTCAGTCTTATATGGAAAAAAAATCCTTTCCAATTCTCCTTTCTTACAAAATGGAGAGGTATAGAAATAAACATTAGGTGCATGAAATTCCACCATTAGTAAGGATCAGAAAAATGGACAGAGAACATGTGTTAGTGACCAAAATACATTTCAAATTTTAATGCTGTGCTTTCTTTTTAAGGATGAAAGAGAACATCCTGCAAAAAAAAGTAGAATTGAGCATGATATAGATGACAGCTTGATTACATCCACTCCTCGAACAGGAGAGAAGCCTAATAAACCCCTCTCCCGGGTTAGGCGGAAAAGCCAAGTGAACGGAGGTTTGTTCATATTTCCCTTCAGTGACTCATACAGAGCCTCTGGGCTTTCTGCTTCCCTGAAATAATCAAGACTTTTGGCGGTGGTTCCTTAGGAGAGCAGGGCTGAACCTATAATAGTAGCCGTGCATTTGGGTCCCCAAACTGCTGTTATCCATCTCCACAGTGTGTTGATTGTGCTTTGTGATATTTTCCCTCAGTGCTGACAGCGAGCACCTGAGGCAGGCTTTTATGCCAATTCTGAGGATGGGAAAGGAAAGTCTTAGCCAAGGTTAATGGCTGATCTTAGGGCTGATCTGCATTTTGCAGCTGGCTCGTGGCCATATCAATACATTGTTCTCTGAATTAGGCCTTGTTAACCAATCACAAGCTGGAAATGGAACTACAGAGCTTGCTCAGCTGTATCATTTCCCATGCGCTAGGTATAGGATAAGCCAGGCCCTCGCCCTTGGCAGACTCACGAATAGTGTCGTGGGTGCCCTCGCAAAATGGCTGCACTGGGGCTGGGGCTTCCCCTGCATAAAGTGGCTGCTGTGGTGGGCACAGCCGGGCACGAGCATGCATGGTCAGGAACGCAAATTGGTGAGCCTGAAAGAAAAGCAACTTTCCCAAGAATATAAACTCATGGTAGAGGTTGGGATTGAACACCGACACACGAGAGCCGCCTTATGAGGTAGATTAGGCTGAGATCAGCAACTGGCCTAAAGTCACCTGGTCACTGTCTTTCTGCCTAACCTACTTTACCAGGTTGTTGTGAGAATAAAATGGAGAGGAAGAGGGTCAAGTACCTCACCTTGGGCTCCTTGGAGGAAAGGCAGAAGTACAGTGGTACCTCGGCTCACGAACGCCTCGGCTCATGAACAAATCGGGTTACGAACAAACATTACTGAACAATTTTGACTTGGGTTGCAAACACCGCTTTGGTGGAGACCGAGATAGAGCCATCTACCCCCCCGCTGCCCAATGGGGAGATGCCCACGATCGCAGTTGCTTTCGTGCAGGGAAGGCGTCCGTGATCAGAGGCGCGCTGCTGCAGGAAAGACGGGAGCAGCAAAGCAGAGCCGCGGGGGAGACGGCCGAGATTCCGGCTGGCTGGCTGGCTGGCTGGCTGTATGTATTTATTTATTTATAACATTTCTGTGCTGCCCCCATCGCAACAAAGCCTCGGGGTGGCTCACAAAGAATACGTAAATACATACAGAAATAATGATAATATAACAATTTTAAAAAATCATTTTTTAAATCAGAAAAATGTGAAGCAAAGTGCCCTTCCTGCAGGAGTGCGCCTCTGATCAGGCACGCCTTCCCTGCACGAACGGAACTGCGACCGCGGCCGTCCCCCCACCCCCAGTGCTCCGTTTGCGCCCATCCCTCCCTCCCCCAGTGCGCCCGCGATCGTGCTCGTCTCTCCCCCCCACCCCCAGCGCACTGGGATGACGGGCGCCTGCAGGGATGACAGGCGGATCCCGGTCATGCTGGGGGCGGGGCGGGGAGATGGCCACGCTTGGGGTGCGGGGGGGGGGGGAGATGGCTGCAATCTTTGTTGTCACTTTGCTTCACATTTTTCTGATTTAAAAAAATGGTTACAGAACGGATTAACCTTATTTTCATTGAACCTTATGGGGAAATTTAACTTGGCTCACGAACTTAATCCGTTCTAGGACTCTGGTCGTGACCCAGATTGGTCGTGAGCCAAGGTACCGCTGTATATGAAACAACCCAAACAAACGAAGGCCACTTTTAACCCAAATACAAATGGTGCTGAGGAGGACCACTTTGCTTTGCAGCAGGCCAGCACCCCTGTTAAAAATGATTTTAAAAAAACTGAAGACAGTAAAAACCAGAGAGGACTTGGAGCTTGGCAGGCTCCAAGAGGCAAATCCATTGTCATGTGGGTGCCGACGGACACTACGTTGGAGATCCTGTGGAGACCTCTTCTGCATCTGTTGGGATGTTTCTGAGAGCCCAGCCCTTGCCCAGCTTCACAGATCATAATTATTGTAACAGGCTGCTACAGGATGTTCTTTAAAATAGTTGCAGTGGCCAAGTGTCTGTACCTGGCAGGTGGGATGGTGCCTGCTACCTGTCTGGGAACGGGAGGCCAGAGCCCCTGCCCGGCTAGGTTTGCCTGTTAGCAGGTGGTGCTGCCAGCATTTAATAGCTGTTTTTGACTGTGACACGTGCCCAGCGTGGTTCTTGATCTAGTATTACCTCTGCAGGTATTTCTTGAACAAAGCATTCATTTGTGTGGATATTGTCTTGTGACAAGGGACAAGAGCACATTCCTTCCATCTGAACAAAGCGGTGCTTCTTTGTAACTGGGGTTCCTGAGCATGGTAACGTGCCTCAGGCTCTTCCAGTTCCCTGTCACTCTCCTCCTTTGGCATGGCTCTGAGAAGGAGATCATTTTGTCTGACCACACTTAAGCATCGTATCTGAATCCAGAGAAACTGCCTAGTCTTAACTTTGCATTAAGTAAAACAAGCCATCGTCAACCATGTTTTATTAAATTGGTTTGTTTCAGTTAACCATTGTTAATGTTATCCACAATTGTACAAAACAGTTAATTTAAAATGGAAGGAAAAGCTCTTGATCTCTTCAAAGCTTCACTAGAGAGAAGAGTACACGAGAGGCCAAGCTTTCTACTTGCAGTACTAAATCATCCTTCTTAGGTTGAAGCCAGGCTAGTTTGTCAGCACATATGCATTTGTTTTCACTGCTCTCTCTCCTAAGTATGGGTGGGAGGGTTTTATTCATACGGGTGAGCTAAACATAATTTTAGATAAAAATAAAATCAATATTTGGGATCAACATTTATTTTAATGTATTTGTCATTCCACCAAATGTATTATAATGACTACAGGAACAAATATGACTGTAGAAAATTGCTTAGCTGAAGTGTTCTGTGTGTTCTAGAAGCCGGAAATTATGAAATGACAAACCAGCATGTTAGACAAAATGGGAAATTGGAGGATAATCCCACCACTGGCAGCCCCCCACGGACTACATTACTGGGGACCATATTTTCTCCAGTCTTCAATTTTTTCTCACCAGCAAATAAAAATGGCAAGTATTATGCAAAGCTGCATTTACATACTATGCACAGCTAAAATAAAAAAATGGCTCTTATGGAGGAGTTGCTATGTCAGGATGTTAGGGGAGAGAACACAAGCCGCGTTGTGCTTTGAGTCTTCCTGATCACAGTGCCTGCTGATTTTCTAGCTGCAATAGCAACCTATGGACTAAAACATCTTTTCAGGGACGGTTGGCTCGGACTCTCCAGGGCAAGCGGTTGAAGCGGAAGAAATCGTGAAGCAGTTCGATATGGAACAGGTGGATGAGATAATCACCAGCACCGCAGCCTCTGCCAATGGTGCTTCCTACACCAGTCAGGCCGTGCAAGTCAGATCGATCAACAATGGCTTGGAAGAAGTAGAGGAAGTGGCTGATCGTGACCTGCCTCCTCTCACTGGTGAGGGCCAGGCGTGGTTTGGCTCTCCTTGAGGTAGCATTGAGGAAGGCCTTGTGCTTCTCCGCTCCTCGCAGCCCTGGAGCAGAGGGGGCTGGCTCAGGCTCCTCCGCGAGGAGAGGGCAGCATCGGTGGCCTTCCCTGAAGGACCTTCTTTCACTGATGCAAGTGTGGTCTAAGGACTGGCAGTGTTTTCAGTCAGGTATCGTTCAGGCTGTCCTGTGTTTGGCTGACTGCATCAGTCATGTTTGCATTTGCAAAGGTATCTAACTGTTGCTTATTGGCTGGGCATTCAGGAGACAAATTATTAGGCTTACAAGCATTGGTTGGGGGTGCTGCAACTTTATGCAGAACAGCAACGCTAAAGCCCTTATGATCAGAAAGCCGGATAAAAATATTTTAATAAAGGAATAGTCTGCTCTGCTGCTAACAGGGAAATTCTTCCATCAAGTGAACTAATAAGGAGCTTTTGTGTTTTGTTAGCACCAGTGTCTCCGGACAGCGGTTACTCATCGGCTCATGCAGAAGCCACCTATGAAGAAGACTGGGAAGTCTTTGATCCGTATGTGTTCATATTTGAACTCTGTAATTTTAAGTAATATGTTAAAAAAATAGAAAGGAAACAGAAGGCCCTGTCCTTTTATTAGGCTTGTAGTGGTGAGCTAGGGTTTTAAGGAGGAGTGCTTGCTTTTGTTTAAAGCATAATCATCCATACAGACAGCACTTGAGCAACTACAGCAGTAAAATTAAATTTATTTATTTGAAATCTTTGTGGCACCTGTAATTCAAATTAAGGTGGGCTGGATTATATAGTTTGAAAACAGCAGAAATATGTGTGCATCATTTCTTTTGTTAATAGACTCAGCTGGTGAATGCTGTCACAATTATTGGAAAAATGGGGCCAATAAGAAACAAGAGGGGGAAGTGGCGGAATGCTCCAAAAATCCCAAAGTTTGTGAAAATATAAAATAGTCTTCAAGGTGGAAAAGCCCTGAAGGGACAGAAATGTGCACACACCAAAACTGAAACAACCCCAGAGAGAAGTGAGGGCGCTCAGTGGCCACTGGGCTCAGAGTGCCTTCTGGACTGCTCAGGTGAAACATCAGCCTGGGAGGGAAATCGCCTAAAGTGTCCTGGAAGAGGGCTGGGTAGCCTGTCTGGAACGCTGAACAGGAGCCCTCCGTGCTGCAGTGCTTTGTCGCAGCTCCCACGTGTGCACAAGGGTTAGCTTGTGGAGTAACTTGTCATGGTTATTTAAGTCATTTAAATTTGGCTTTTGAAATCTCTATAGTGAGATTTTATGATTTTATTGTTGTTTGTAGGTTACCCTGAGAGTGTCAGCTATTGGGTGCTATAGAAATACAATCATACTGCAGTGCAACAATAATAACAAATAAAAATGAAACCAGCAGATAAAAGAACAGTCAACAGTACTTAAAATTGCATTCAAAGTATTTTAAAAGCCTGAGCAATGTAATTTTTTTTTAACTTTAAAATATCCTCCCTCTGTCCCCTTGTACTCTCCTTCTCTCTTGTGTATGCTTTTCTCTTGTGCACACTTAACTCCTCAGAATCAAACAGGAAAACCTGGACTTCCAGAAGCTGATTTCTAAACTGCTTGTATGCCCTGCCTCTAGTGTAGAAGTGTATTGTGTGAGACATTTTCCTATGAGCCCATGACTGCCCAGATTCTTAACCTTCACCTTGAACCGTTCCAGCTGTCCCAGCAGCTGAGTGTAAAAGCAGTGGCTTATCACATGGTATCTTGTCTTGTCTTGGGTTTGTTTGTTTTTTAAGGTACTACTTCATCAAACACGTTCCACCACTAACAGAAGAACAACTTAATCGGAAGCCTGCTCTTCCACTGAAAACAAGAAGCACACCAGAATTCTCATTAGTTCTAGACCTGGTAAGGGAAACCTAGTCTGCTTTTGTGTCATTGACATACTTCACAGTATTGTAGCAGAAGGACTTTATTTTCCCGCCTCTGCTAAGTCTTCTCATTTTCTTAATTCTTTATAGGATGAAACACTAGTCCACTGTAGTCTAAATGAGTTGGAAGATGCTGCACTCACATTTCCAGTCCTTTTCCAAGATGTTATTTACCAGGTAATCAAAGCCATGTTTGGGTGAATGTAAACCTGTCCGTATGAATTAGAGGGGCGGACTCCTACCATGCACTTGGTATCTTCTTGCCCTCCCAAGACAAAGGCAATTAAGAGGCATTGTTTACATGCTAAGAAATGTTGTCAGGTGAGCTGTCAGATAGTAGATGTATTTATAGCACACTGCAAAATGAGTTCCAAAACAGTTGCAAAACCTCTCAGGGTAAAGATCTCAACCATTTCCTAATGGTTGAAGGATTCCTCTTAGCTGTATTTCTGCCTAGCACATCTCTCCTTGCCAGCAGGGATAGGAAAGAACAATGGAATTTTGATGGTTATTTTGCAAGAAAAGAACTTGCTACATGCTTCTGTGCATGAGAAAATGGATCCATGCTAGTTAAACACACCATTCTGAAGGGGGAAAAGTAAATTTATTGCCTGGGGATAGCTTGCTTTCAGAAGCAAACCTGCCTCTTCACTCCTAGTCAGGTGCTTCTTTTGTGAGAAGAGTTGCTTTTGTTGATGGAGACTGCCCGATTTCTAGCTGTTGGTTGTACTTCACAACATATTCTTAGCTTCCATCTACTGTGCATTCAACAATTCTCCGGCGAAGAACAGGGGAAGGAGGAGGAGAAGGAGGTGTGTTCCAGCAACTGCCAAAGATGCTGCACTGACCCCAGCTGTTGTTCTCAGGTCCCTATTGTGTGATGTACCTGGGAGTAGCAACAGCTTCCCTCCATGTAGTTCGCACGATATTGGACCCCTCTGTAGTATCTTTGGAGAATGACACCAGGCACCTTAAACGGACACTTGTCCAGGTATTTTACCCTAATTTTAAAACTTGTATTTTGTATTTTGTTTTATTTAAAAATCCTTCAAAATTCTGAAGCTTAAATGAGATCTTCCAAAAAAAAACCAACAACAAAAAACAAACAAACAACTTGGGTTTCTTCTGTCCTGTTTGGCAATAGCAGTGTTCAGATTCCTCTTGGACTACATGGGTTAGGAGGAGTCAGTTACCTGGTTTGGATAGCAAAAGGAAGGGCTGGAAACCAATGCTGCCTTGTTTTTCCTCCTGTGGTTTGCTGAGATTTTTTTCTTTTAAGTGACTGGAATGCATTCTGATTCTCTTGCCTGTGGTATATCCTACTGAGAATAGTCAAACTGCAAAATCTGTTTCTTTTAAATAAATCTGTGGGGTGGAGGGGGTTTAGAATAAAACTTTTCTGTCTGTTGCTGAGACAAATCAAATGATACAGAGTTCAACGAACTGTGACATATTTAATTCTCTAGGAGATTAAGTAGAGTTTGCATTTGACAGACCCCAAATCTTGCCTGGAGTATATTCTTGATTTATTAGCAGCTATTTGTTTTCTTGCTGGCTCTTAAATACAGTTAATTTGTTTTCTGAGTGGCTGGAGAATACAACCTGCAACACAATTATGCAAGTCTAAGGACATTTAATTGAGAGTTCAGTGAAGTCCTTTCCTTTTTCTCTTTACTTCTTAGTCTCATCTTTAGCTTTTCCAGAATAAACAGGTTAAGCACTGCAGCTACAAATGTTCCAGTATTGATCCTAATTCAGCGGTTCTGGATTTAAAACCAAACATACGCTTGGAAGTAGGTTTCATTGTTTTTGGAGAAATCGGTTCCACAGCGTGTGTGTTGGGAATAGCAGCCATTGCCACCTGAGTCTGTGGCAGGAGAAAGCAAGAGCCCGAGGGCCATTTTGTACCCCCATTCAGATGGGCTGTACTGGGAAATTAAAAATTTTAAAGTAGCATTCAGTTGTGCTGAAATGTACAGATTTAGATTTTTTGCAAGCTAGATGTGTGCATAACGGCACTACAAAGCAACATTTGGTGTGTTTTGCCAAAAACAACAAAAAAAGAGCAAATAAATCAGGAAGTGGCAAGGCCCACACTGTGGCAGCCAAGGAGCAGGAGCAGGGTTCCTGCCCCCCCACCCCCCAACAGACAGTTCTTTGGCTAAAGCACTTTATTTCCAATGTGTGTTCAGCACACTATTAGCCAACAAGGGAAACGTCCCTGAGCACATGCAGAGTGGCTTGTTAAACCCAAACTGGAGACTTTTTCTGAGGACCCTTCTTTTCCACAACCCTGGGCCCCACCCCCCAGTATCCCCCTGTGGAGATGGGCAAGCCTCCTAGATCTATGCAGGCCCTCTAGTTAGCTAGTTCTTCTCTTCCAGTGCCACATTACGGGGTCACGTCATGGGTTCAGGCCAAGTTCTTCTGGCTGCTCTCCCATGTCCCCTCCCAGCACTTCCCAATCCTGACAGTTCCCAGAGTCTTCCAGAAGAGCCGGGGGCAGCAGCCTTGAGATAACCGCTCCCTCCTCCGCCGTCTCTCTGTCCACAGACCACCTTTCCCAGGCCTCACCATCCTCCTCTGAAGAGTCGGTGCCACCCTGGCCCTGGAAAGCACACCAGGAATAACTGCTTCTTCCTTCCCAACGCCAAGGTCGCCTCTCCAGAAGCTCTTTTCCATACTGGAGTGGCGAAAATCTCTCATTCTGGGTTTTCATTCTTCAGTATACAAAACTGTATTCCCCAGGATACCATTTAGACTTTTTGTACTTCTGCTAGGAGAGACATAAATGCGAAGGAGGGGAAAGGACTAGAAAGGATGAGTGTATATATTTTGTTGGAACCCTGCTACGTTAATACCTGAAGTCTTCATGGTTTGGCTAGTCTTGGAAAAATCTATCGGTCAAATTCCAAAAGTGTAGCTGAGCTAGTTTCTTGCTGCAAAAACAACCAAGAGCCATGACGCCTTAAAAGCTAATACACTTACTCAGTAGGAATTTATGCAGACTAGAGACCACTTCATTAGCGGCATGGGTACAAAAATAAAAGCTATGACAAATGTGGTGGTGAAGCCTTCCACAGCTGCAGCCAAGCATAACCAGAAGGGAAGGTACGGGTGGTTACTCTGCTCTGGTAAGTGTTATGGGACAGTCTGAGTTCTTGTTCCATTACTGCGCCATGTCTCTGTTGACCGTCAGGGCCAATGGTGAGTGTTCTGTGTCTAGGCAGCAGGATGTTGGTTTAATTTCTCTGCTACAAGCCGCACAGGGTCCATTTTGTCAGTTCTGCTCTGTCTGATCAGCTTCTCAGTGACTGTGCAGGCAGATGATAACGATTGGAAGTGGGTGACTGAACTGTGGGCACCCTGGCCTTGGCCATCGCGGGGGCGGGGGGGGGAGGTATTATTATCTGACAATAAGCGAAACTACTATTCATTTTCTTTCACATATACAAAAGCACTGTAGACATGTGTATTAATAAAATAACAGCTGCCTAGAGTTAAGATTTTTTTAAAATGTCTCATGAGCTTCTTTAGCACTTCTTTATGCTTAAACTTGAGTGTAAATGCTGTAGGGACTTTTACTGTGTATTGGTAGTTTGCCATACAATATAGATCTCAGCAGCAGGCCTAGTGCAACTCTGTTGTAGACTGCATGAAAGAAATTACGGCATGCCAAGGGCTTGTCTATCATACTTTGCAGCCAAATAATGCACTATTTATTCCTTTAGGTGGAGGCCAGTATTCAATACCTACTAGGGTACAACCCCCCCCCCCCCATGAAACTGCACTTTCCAGAGTCTTGGTGAAGGGAGGCCAATTTCCAGTTTAATTGTTCATTTGATCTCCATCCCTCCTCCTTTACATCACGCATGACCTTTCAAAGTACATTGGCTGCCAGCTTCTCACCCTATGAATGTGGGCTCTGGTGTTGGGCTTTGAAATGTTGTTCTTCGAGGATGGGTTTGAGAAGGACGACAGGGTCTGAGTCTGCGTAGCTGAGGAAGGCTCACCTCGCCTCTTTTACGTAGCGGTGCACCCTGGCTTCTGGTAGCGATTTCAGAGGTGTGCTTGCAAAACAAACCGCCATAGGGATGTTTTTGCCAATGACCTTCTGATGGAAGACACAGACAACAAGGATGAGTAGGTGATGACCAGTAAAGTTGCCTAGGATGTTGAGCTTTGGATAAGAAAAGCTAAATTCTCCTTGATGGCATAAACAGAAATTGTTTATTGTGCATTGTTTTCTGTGCATGTCAAGGCAATTAAATTAGGAACCCTTCACTGGTTTCTGAAAGAATAAGTAGTACGTAATATTACTAAATCTGAATCAGCCAGCCTGATTTCTTGCTGAAGGAAGAGCATTCCTGAAGCTCAAAAGCTTACAAGTTAAAAACGGTACTTGACCCTGTTGCTTATCTGTGCTCTGTCCCTGATGCGCTGGTGGCTCAGTCAGAGCTGAAAGAGAATATTCAGCATTTGGTTACTTGCCTGGTACAGTTTGCAGTGTTATCAACCACATTGCAGTATTATCGACCATGCTACAAATTTCTGCTTAATGTTGGTATTTCCAATAATACAATCAAATACAACCTAGAATTTTACCAACTAAAATTAACATTTCTTGTTCCACATTACTAAACATAATAATTGCTGTACTATAGATTCTTACTGCTGTGTTAATAACTGATTTATTCAACAATGACTACCACTTGTTACAGAAGTCTGTCATTTGAAGCAGAACTTCTTCATAGTATACTGTATATTTAAATCACTGTTTCTCATTCTAGGTTTATGTGCGATTAAGACCATTCTTCAGAGAATTCTTGGAACGTATGTCCCAAATCTACGAGGTAATGAGTCTCACGTGGAGCTTGTGTGTGTTCCTTTAAAACCTTAAGTTTGGCAGTGCAGCTGGCTAATGCTATTCCCCTTCCTTCACTTTCAGATCATTCTTTTTACTGCTTCCAAGAAAGTGTATGCAGACAAGTTGCTGAACATTCTAGACCCCAAAAAGCAGCTCGTCAGGTAAGCATGCCGTAAAACAGCCGGTCTTCCTTCTTGAACTTCAATCAGAATTAGACTGCACACACTTCTAATGTAAAGTAGACCCATTTCAATATTACAGCATTCTGAAAATACAGATGTGCGAATTGCTTCTGTTCAGGATTCTCACCTGCCAGCCCTGCCCTCTTCGGAGATACTGCAAGCCGTGAAGACAGCAGCTGGCCACCCAGATTGAGTGGGCCGGGGGGCTCGGTGATCAGCGATAACAGAGGGAATGGCCCTGCATGGTGCTTGGGGCTGGCGATGGCTGTGGCAGTCGGGGAGGGACTATCGCACAGTGGGGGAGCCCCTGCTCTGCTAGCGGAGGGGGACACAGCCCCGCTGGAAGCCCCAGGGAGCTGGCACTGGTCATTCCCCGCCGGGCCGGATGGATTTGAGTGCGAGGCAGCTGGGTTAATGTTTGAATATACACTGAAGTGACAAGCAGACTCAGACGTTCTAGTTCCTGGCAGCCTTTATCGGGCCACCTGTAAATAAGGTGATGGTTCCCATATGTCATTTGGGAAAAGAAACAACCCTGTGGGTGAGTGGCAGGTGAATTGGCTTGCTTGCCTGCTAACTGTTCTCATGGGCCACAGAGGGCCGTAGTTGGTGGAACACTGGACAGAAGCCCTCCTGCTCCAGATGCACTGCAGCATTTTATTGTAGGTCCCAAGATTTTTTTTAAATCCCTGCAGTCTGTTAGGCTAAAGGGCGATTTAAAAGGTCTTCTAATAAATAATGATTGCAGGTGATTGGGTTGCAACAGTTGTTGGAAACCCTCCAGAGAGCCATGTGGGTATTGTGACAGTCTATAAAAATGCAGACAAACAAACAAATGAAAAATAAGAGGGAATACACTTGAGTGACCCCTGAGGTATACTTGTAAAACATTTTTTAAAAGCTTAAAAGGGGGCAACACCCCCCCCCGCCCCCGATGCTCAGTACAGAATACCATGCTTCATGGCATCCATGGAATGTTCCATGTCTGCTTTCCAAAGAATAATAGGAAATGGGGTGTGGATGACAGGTCATGCTTGTATCCCAGATGATTCATGGTACTCCAGACAAGGACGTGGCTACCTGCTTGGAATCCCAAATAGAAGCAAGGCCCTTGGACTGTGTGGATCCAGCACAACTTTTTGCTGCAGGGCCTGTTGTGGAATGTGGGCTTTGAAGCATGGCTGGAGAGGCCCGTGGAGTCGCGGTGGCTGATGCCGAGTGGGGGAAGCCGGCTGTTGGGGCTTGATCTGCTTTACATGTGTCGGGGTCTGTTATAAAAACCTTTTGCTGTTCCTTATTATTGTCCTCCCTTAGCAACAGCACGTCGCTCCCCCTCCTGGTGAAGTTAATCATTGAGAGTACAGTAGTCCCCCAAAATTTGCGGGGGTTACGTTCCTAAAGCACCAGCGAATTGTGAAAAACCATGGTTTTGGTGCCAGCAATGGGCGCCAGCCACCAAGGCGGTGCGGGCGGGAGGCGCGGGCCGGGCTGGCCTGGGGGGTGTGCGCACAGAGATCATTTTCTCCGAGTGAGTCCAAACTCGGAGGAAACTATCTCCTTGCGGGCAAGCCACCGCACAGTGAGGCGCCAGCTTGCTCGCACGGAGAGCGGCTTGGACTCGCTCAGAGAAAAATCCCACGAAAGACTGAGGCCACGAATGCTGAACTGCTGCTTCAGAGGGGTATACTGTATACATGCTTTAATTTTCTGTGAGATGTTTATTTTTTAAATGATTTCTGTTATGAAGTCCAGATGGTCCATCTGATCCAGGTTTTCTGGGTAAATGAAAATTAAATGACTCTATCAAATGTTAATATTGTGCTGCAGCCAGTTCTCAACAAGTATGACCATTTTTTGACTAAGTTTCAGATAGGGTGTGTTTGGACAAAAATGAAACATGAAGACTGCCCTGTAATAAAAAGATTAGCACTGAACTGCCCAGGGAGTCTTGGGCTATTGGGCAGTATGAATATTTAGTAAAGAAATACACCCATTGAAATAGGGGGAACATTTTAAAAACAACATTTTAATACACCTTTCTCTACTTGTAATCTGAAAGTTGAATGTCTTGTTTCCAACGAACTGCAGGCATCGACTTTTCCGTGAGCATTGTGTTTGTGTACAAGGAAACTACATAAAGGATTTAAATATCCTCGGTAGAGATCTCTCAAAAACAATAATTATTGACAATTCACCACAAGCCTTTGCCTATCAGGTGAGCGCGCTTTCCTCTGTTCACCGTTCAGTTCTCAAAGATGATTCTTTTAAAAAATGAAGACAACCCTAAGCTTTAACAGATGAAAAACAGACTAAAAAAATGAAGAAAAGCAGTACCTCATGCAAAATATTTGAGTTAAATTATGTGACTGAATCAGAGCCAAAACATGGAGTAGTCTTCATTCTACATGAGTTCTTGTCAAGTTAATAGATCTGCCTCCTTACATCCTTCTCCGGATTACAAGCCAAGTAGTTAGGCAGCTCACTTGAATATTTTTTAGCAGCCACTGGAGATACAAAGCAAAAACATCTCTTAATGAAGGTATCACTGTTGTGTCTTTTGTACATTTAATATTTTGCCAGGGAGAGGTATAGGCTGCTTTTGAGAGAGACGAAAATGTTAGCATGATCTGTTGGCATAAAGAGTAACTGCACTAAACTGATCATGGCTCTGATCTGTAGCAAGATGTGTGTATGTGCTGAAGTGTCCAGCCATGCTCCAGCCTGTGGCTTCTCTCTCTTGGGGAGAGTTTAAAGAGTAGGACTCCCAGGCATCACTGCCCTCCTGGTCCTGCTCCAGAAATTCTAACACAATGTTTAATTTTCTTTTGTTGTTGTTTATTTTTAGCTTTCAAATGGGATCCCTATAGAGAGCTGGTTCATGGATAAAAATGACAATGAACTCCTAAAATTGATTCCTTTTCTGGAGAAACTTGTAGAGCTGGTATGTAATTTTAGAAAATGATCTTTTGATATATCTTTTCCTCTTAAGTCATCACAGGATTACACCTGTTCTGGATTTAGGGGCAAATTTAGAATGCTGATGGTGGCAAAAACATACCATTGTGGCTTGGAAACATTACAGCCTGCTCTGTCCCTTGTCTGTCATTGTAATACTGATGAATTATCCAACAATATGTATGCGCAGAAGGGGACATGGAAAGCTGTTCTCTGTAGATTCTCCTGGTCTCTTAAACATCAGTCTGCCAAAGTCCCAGGTTGAACATGCTCAGGAAGCCAGTGAAGTGCTAGAATACCTGGTCATGGCAGTGTTTGGGTGGCTAGCATTGTTGCCAGGTGGGCCGGAGGCCTCCCACGTATTCAAGGTATAACTGCCATCCAACCCCACTAGGGGTGACTTTCCAAGCATTAAAAAACCCTCATAATCCGTGCCTTGTTCTAGGGTCATGCAAGAGTTAGTTAACTTTTATGTAACCCACCCTTGCTGAATTCATACAAGATGACAAGCTGCAGTTATGGATCTATTTGGATATTCAAAATCTGTCCAGAATACACCACAACTCACTGTGACTTAAAGAAGCCTTGGTGGAAAATGGTAGTAGTGCAAATCAGGTCATACTTGTGTGTATGTGTGTGCAAATCTTACATTTTACAAGTGTTGAGTAAGTCTTAAATTTTTAGTGTTTCTAACTTGCCTTGTGCTTGTGGAATAGAATTCAGGATGAATAAAATACCTGTCAGTCATTGGATTCTATACAGGAAGGTATAGTGCATGCAGGAAGCTCGCTGTGTGCCTGAAAATTATGTTGCAAGGCTTGCAAGAAAATGCTTAGTGTTAGGTCTGCGTGGAATTTCATGACTTGTCACTTTGAGAAAGCCAGGAAGTGTGTGGTGTCTTGGCAGAGCAACAAACCCTTCCAAGACACAGTTCAGACACAACATTAGGCAGTTTTCTCCCACTGAGTTTCTGGTTATGGACGTTGCCTACATTTTTATTACGTTACATTTGCATCCTGCTTTTTTCCTTTTGCAAGGGGCAAGCTGCTTCTCCTCTCCAGATTAGCCTTACAAGTAGGTTAGGCTGAGAAGCAGTGACTGGCCCAAAGTCACCCCGGGAGCTTCATGGCCTGGTAGGGACCACAGCCTGGACCTCCCAAGGCCCAGCCAGCGCTCTAACCACTATCCACACTGGAGCCTCTGCCGCTGTGGCTACTGCTTTGTGAAACGTGGCTATTGAGTTAAAGTATGGGGCAGAGAATTTGGATTGTGAGTGGCTGAGAAACCCAGAATTTCTGATTTTGGTTCCAGACCTAGCATGGGCAATCCCTATCCCTTGGCTCCCTCTTTTTTCTTCCTCTGCCACAGACCGCAAGGTTACTTTACAGGTTGTGATAAGGTGCATTGCAAAGAGAGCTGTTTATAACACGTGAAAGATCAAAGTGGTTGCTTTTTTTGTTTTGTTTTCCCATTTCCAGAATGAAGATGTTCGACCACACATCAGAGATAGATTTCGCTTGCACGACTTACTACCCCCTGATTAAACACCAAGCCTTTGTCAGACACTTAAAAGGGGAAGAAAAAGCAGGACCCCTTTTTCTTTTTGGACTAAAACAAAAACATTGCCATTACTGTTGAAATTTTTGCATTTTTGTACCCTGTCTCGCTTTTCTTATCTCTGACGCCCAAAAACAACCAAGGGTTACAGAAGAACTTTATATATCGCCAAATGGAATACTCCTAGTACAATACCGTAAGTAGGGCTAGAGCAGAAGCGTCTTTAGAACTAGTGCAACTCCAGTCATTTTTTTTACGTACAGGACATCTGCCGTTTGTAAAGAATTCTGTTTCTGCCACCAGCAGTTTGACCTATAAAAACACAGGATTTTATGAAATAACAGAGATTGAAAATGGACTCGTATTTTCTCTCTGTTTGGTGCTCTCTAAGTGGGTTTGTAGCCACTTCGTGTTACTTTTCAGAATCTCATTTCAACAGGAATGGCCAGTAAATTTTTTTTTTAATTATTTTCCTGTTAAGGTTTATAACCTTTTTACATTTTTGACCTGTATTAGATTCTAGACTTTCATTATGCATTCCTTTAGTTGAAGCAGCTTCATAGTTTTCTGGAAATAGCCAAGTTTTATTAGTTTTTTTATTATATTATTGAATGGCCATTTCCTGCTTTGTCTCCCTGCATACTGTATATTTGTTTAAAAATATTACCTAGTTTTATTCCATGTAAGTTTCATTTAGAAATCTGCGTTTATATATATAAATATATTTTTTGTTCTGTAATATTCTACTGTAGTGGAAATCTTTTCAAAAAAATCAAGAGACTGGCTAGCTAAGAAGAAATATAAGAATTACTAATATTCAGAATATTTAAACCATTGTGATGGCATGTACTCTGGACAGACGATCTCTCGCGGTGGCACACACGGCCCAAGACAAGGATTAACACCTCGGCGTCTGCTGCGCATCCAAGTCTTGGCGCAACGTGGCTCGGTTGAGGCCGCCTTCAGAGCTCTTCGGGAACGGAGCGTCGCGGGGAGCAGCGGAGCGCTTGCGGCCGCCTCGCGTGCGCCGGCCCCTCTGCTGTGCTGCTCCTCGCGGTCTGCGGCCATGCGCTGCCGCAGCAGCTATGCACACTCCGTCGCCGCCCGTGCAGCCGAGACGCTAGCACAGTGGTTTCCTATGCTATATGGAAATGGTTTTCAAGCCTGGGTCCGAATGCAGCTTGGACAAGAAGAGGCCGATATTTTTTTAATGGAGTGTAATCTTTTTAGGAGGCTTTTTATGGAAGGGGGAAATTTGTAAAAGTTAGCAAGCTTTGCCTCGACGCTGCATTAACGGGCCACAAGGCTCGGGCTGTTTTTGTGTAAAGGATGTTGCAGAATGGCACTTTTTCTAAAGAGAAGTTTGATATTTTGTATGCTTGTTAAAGAAAGTACAGTATTGGAAATTAAAGGTGGACAACTGATAATTGAAAAGTATGTCAATTAATTTTTTATGTATATTACCTGTTTACTTGTACAAATTTATTGTACAAATTACACGCAGCTTCATTTTCAAATGAGTCCTTAAAATAAGGAAAATCTTTTTAGGAAAGCATTTAATTTTTGTATTTTTTGATTTTCAAAGGCATGAGTTATGTCAATTTTTCCAATGTATTAATGAAGATTTTAACTTTTCATCAGGTTGAGTGTTTTCTTACTATATTATCTGTTGTATATGTAGCACACTGTGTCATTGAACTGTTAGGAAAAGTTAGCATGTAGAGCAGGCCTGCTTTGTGGAAAATCATCACTCATTGAAAACAAAATTAGGGTCGATTTTCTGCAAAACAAAAACCAACCAACCATGAAGAGCATTTGTTATCCAGAATGCTGACTTCTTTGTATTTAAAGAAAGGTATTTTGCTTGCAGGAAAATGCTACAGATTCGTTTGAAAGAGAATCTTTGAAATGTATTTATCTTTAGGGCATCTGGACATCTTTATGCTATTTGTCTTAACGTCTTTATTGAAATAAAATGTACATAATATTTATATATATATATATATATACACGCATATATATATATAAATGTAACTGTGTGTGCGCCTGCGCAGCCGTGATCCTTGTAACCACTCCCTTCCTGTTTTGCTAATAATAGGTATATAGAAACATTTGATTTTTGAACCGTTTTGAAATTCTCCTCGTAAACCTTCGCAGAAGGAGCTGCATTGGGGGCAATAAGGACGTCTTCTTGACTAGCGTTGGAATGCCTGTTTCCTTCCAAAGGTAACAGATACATCTCACAATAGTCAAGTATCTCTCCTTACTGCTCCTGGTGAGGATTTGCAGCTCTCGTTTTCAGTGGTCTCCAGATGGAGATAGCCTGTGCTCACTAGTTTTGAGCAAGCTGGAGTAGGATAGCCAATACAAAAGACTGTTTAGCTCTGCCTTCCACTCCGAAATACCAGCTAGAAGTTGGAAGAGAGCGGCACATAACAAGGGCCGAGGGAGCCACCCTTTTGAGAAGCAAGAGAGACTCACCTCAGTGAAAAGTGGCTGCAGAGAGAGAAAGGAAGTGTGCGTGATTCTACATTTCTGTGATAGTTTGCTATGCTGTATTAAGAGATTATTTTCTGCAGTTCACAAATAAATATATTGAATATAGACCCTACCCTAAACAAAATAATGGATGGACATTTCTCTGTGACTTGAAGGAAAACTGCAGCATCCTTTTTAAAGCAGCTTTTTAAAGCATTTGTGCATTTTCATTAAAAACGCTTACAAAACCAGATGCTTTTAGTTAAGCTGACACATTGCATATACAAACCTACCTGTTCCGTGATTCCTAATCACTGAAGAGAGAGATGAAAAGCAAGAATGTGAGCTTTTACAATGTGGATTATTAGAAATGTAGGAGAACTAACAGTCCGATATTGGACAAACTGAATCAACCATTGCAGGCTGCTCTGTAAATACATATTAAAGTATCATTTTGTAATTTGGTGCAAGTCTGACTTTTGATTCTCGTCCCTTTTCAGTGGAAGTGTGAAAAGGCTTGTATGATTCTTGCTAATGCCATACAATGCAACCTGTTGGGTATTTTTCTTGTGTTTGGATTCACTAAGCAAAGAAATTAGTACTCCCTTTCAGTGTATTCCTTAAATTATAGATAGCTTAGAACAAATCAGACATTCTGTGAAGTGTCATGAAAGGTTTTGGAGAGAGATGATCTGGGATCCCAAATTGTATTACAGAATTTAACCCAGTTGAATTCTTACTTGTACAATAAAATATTCAGAGTTGTGCAGGTTTTCTACAACAACCTTGTTTAAAAGAAAAAAAGTGATTTTTCCTTCTTGGAAAAAAAACTGTGTGGAGTGTTTAAAGTGCAAGAACATTTTATTCAAGGCTTTGGTTTATTATCATTGATTTCATTTCTAAAGCCATCCCCAAGGACATTAGTGCAGCAGCTTGAATCCAGCGATTGCCTCTGGCAAACAGGATTCCTATGCACGGGAAGAATCTGATCAGCAGGAACTGCAAAACAGGCGGCATTTTTGTTGGTTCCACCTCTTTGCAGCCCTTCAAAAATTGCTACAGGTCACCATCAGTTTACCCGTGTGGCCATGTGCAGGGAGTTGGCAGTACAAACCAGTGGAAATCCCCACCTGCATTCTGAGAGGAATTCCATTCATGGCTTAGTGCCACCAGAAGAATGAAAACATGGATCTAATTCATAATGACCATACGGATACAGCACCAAATGATTTGCGCTTCCGTGTATACAAGCAGAACATGGTTTTTCTTTCATCTGCTCAGGGCTGCCACCTCCATCATGTATCAGTCCCTGGAGGAACGGCCAGCGAGGGAATTCCAACATGCCACCCGCTGGTTAGCAAAACCAGCTAGAATCCAAAGCATGCTTTGCCAGGTTCTGACATGCTGGCACTTTCCACAGTTTGCACGTGCATTGTGAGTCCTGAGGAAGAGCCTTCTGGACCCAAAGGGTGGCAAGAACTCAAGCAGCACCCCATGGTAATCCGTCCGCCCCCACTTTCTGAAGTCTTTCCATCCTGCCAAGTTTGGCATGTCCCTCGCGCTGATGGGCACTACTGGGCTCTCATGTTCCACGCATTCTTTCCCTGCGGTGCTCAGTCTGCATGTTTCCCTCCTATCCAGCTGCTGCAGTGGCTGCTATTACACAGAGCATTAAAATCTTTGGACCTGCCCAAGTAGAACTACACTGCATTTTCCAGCATTTATTTCTCTTATACATCTGATCTAATGGTTTCTCTTCCTCTTACTGAGTCGTCTTATATTTCGTCCAATTTCCCACAACCAATATTTAGGTAGGTTATAAACACTTTGATTTCTGTTCTGTCCCTTTGGCCAAAAATGACTCTCAGGGCAGGTTACAAGAAATAATATGTACATAATAACTAGTATTAATGTAACAAATATTAATATATTTACTACATCTAACACACAAACTAACAGTATTTTTTTTACTGGCTCAGTTAAGACCAGAGCCTTGCTTATTACCTGAACCTAAAATTTCTCAATTATTTGAAGCAGTTAGGTTGGGGGAGTGTAAAGATTATTGCCATAAGAGCTAAACCGATGCAGAAAGGTCGTGTTTCTACCCTTAAGTAAATACCTGTTGAGCAAATCATTTGAAACACAGCCATGTTCTAGTTAATGGAAGTCTACAATTATGGAAAATTTCAAATCAATCTGATAATCACCATAGGTACAGCAAGTTAAAAATGGCTAGAAGCCCACTCTATTTATCCTTGCTCCATTTGCAGGATTGCATATCCTATGTTTCTTTCAGATTTTGGTGAGAAGTACTGGTACATTTGTAAACCAGCTTGAGATTTTCTGTGAAAACAGTAGGCAGTATTATAGAAAAATTTTAAAGAAGTTAATTCAGGCTTGATGAAGAGGCATGTCTTCCATTGGTCTGGTGGTGACCTCAGAAGTTCAAGTTTTTCCTCCCAATCATAGCTTATGGCCATGAACTGCCAGAAAAGTTCCGCCATGCTTGCTGCATTTCATTAGCCACCACCAATGTTCCCAGTCTGAATCACTGTGCACACCTCCAGTTTCCATTGCCAAAACGACCCCCAGATACGCCTTTGCAGGCATGGCAAACACGGTAGAAGCTTCCTGCCCTACGCCATTAAGTCTTTTGCGATCAAAAAACCTAGATTTGACATTTTGCTTTATACCTGAGGAAGGCAGGGGTGGGGATGGAAATACACAGGTGGGGGAAGCAGAAGAATTTGTCTTCCACCGGTCTTCTGAAAATAAAAATGCACTACATCCATTGAGCGAAACTAATATATCTTTAATAAAGGTCTTATTGCTGCCTCCTTCAAGCAAGAGAGAAGCCGGTCAGGCACTGGCCAGGCGCCCCTCACTTTCCCTAGCCAAAAGGTTGTGTGGAGAAGTGGCTCGTTTATTTTACTCATTACATTTCTATACTGCCCAATAGTCGAAGTTCTCTGGGTGGTTTAGAACAATAACATAGAACAAAATACAGTACAAAAGTTTAAAACCGCACTGTAAGATAGAAGAACAAGCAAAGTAAAACCTAGCAGCGACGCAAAAATTTTAAACCTAGTAAAGGATTCAAGGAGACAGAAACCGAAGGCTAAAAATCCTGGAAACGCGGAAGTTCTTCACCTGGCAGCGACAAGGGCTCTCTGTGGATGCCAGGCACCCCCACCCCCCGGGCGGCTCAACAGAAAAGGACACCCCCCTCGCAGCCACCCAGCTGCCCTTCTTTAACCAACGGAGCCTGGGCGAGAGCGCTGGCAGGGATCCTGGCGCCCGGGCGAGAGCAGCCGATCGCCCGGAGGCCTCGCTGGGCCCGTCCTGCTCGCGATCCCGCTGCGCTCCGCCGGGCCAGGGGCGCTTCCAGGCCGTTCCCCAGGGCGCCCCCACGCGCAACCTGCGGCGGCCAGGCTGCCTCGGCCGGTGCTCCACGCCGCCCAGCCCTCGGGGCCTCCGGCGCCAGCGCTGGGCCCCAGGCCGGGCGCCGCGACCGCCGAGAGGCCCCCGCCCCGTCGGCTCCCCGGGATGGCGCCCCGCAAGCCCCGGCGAAGCAGCGCGAGACCCGCGGAAGCGCGCCAGGCGGGGGCCTCGCGAGAGCGGCGGAGTATGCGCAGGACCGGAAGTGCGCCGCGCGAGCACGCCGCTTCCGCCCGCAGCAGGCAGGAAGCTCCGCCCGCCTTCCCGGTGTGCTCCGCGCGGCGGCCGCCCGGCCCCGCCCGGCCCAGCAACCCCGCGAGGGGGCGAGCGAGCGAGGGAGCGCGCGCGGCGGACAACATGGCGGCAGAGGCGGACTCCTGGGGTAGGTCCGCGGGCGGCCCGGCCCGGCCCGGCCCGGC